CCAAAATCCTATTCTACAATTTTTAGCATGACACATTTTCTTTCCACATATTAATTTAACGCATTTTCAATTTTATTTTCTACCATAATTTTTTAAAATAGATTTACACACTCTATCCCACCATTTAATCTATCATTTGTTTCATAAAAATAAATGTTTTTATCTAAATAAAATGAAACAAATTTATATTTATAAAAAACAAAAGATGATAAATTTCAATATAGATTTTTTTTACAAAACAAATATAACTTGTTACAAAATAATTGACCTTAAATATTTAAGATGAGATTAAAAAAAGAAAAAAACAGGCCCTGAATATTCAACATGTTGAATACTTTCAACTATGATGAATCCACAATAGAGTTGACAAAAAAAAATGAATCCACATCAGATTTTTTTCCTTTACAACTATTTCATTGTAGAGTATTCAACAGTTGAAAAATAAAATTCAACATCCCCATTGTTATTAGTCTTACAACAACTAATTTACATATTTGTATTTCTGAATCAATCATTATTGAAATGATCCCAATTAATTATCTGAGTCACTTTTAGAATTATTTACTTAAGTGATGCAAAAAATTACATCATTGTAAGTAATGCATATATTGAAAATAAATATTATTAAACAATTGTTTTGTAGTCCACATAGGGCTGATGCAAATAGAAGTTTTTGGTTGGCTATGATTTCTGGAAACTTTTGGAAAGCATTTTTAGGTCTTGGTCACAGTAAAAATCAGATATTATATGAGAAATACTCGGGATAAGCAGTACTGTGTAGATTGGATTGGCCAGTTGGTGTTTCATTATGGTATGATATTTTACTATGATTTAGGTTCAAATTGTGTAGACTCTTTACACTCTGTATTAAATAATCAAAGTTGTTTGTTGTGTTACATGTTTTCGAGTTGAATTTATAATGATTACCATTTAGAATCGAATGGTAACTTTAAAGTGCAGTGACTTCTGTGGAAAATAAATATTTTTATGTTTGCTTCTTTAGGTGTGCAATCAGTTTTTAGATAGAGTTTCTGATGATGTATAACAACAACTAGGAACATATCAAAGGTACAAAATCTGAGAAACACATCGAAGTGTTGCAAAATTACAGGTTTCTGCAAATCTGTACAGTTTTTGAAAAGTTTTTCTTATTAAAAATGTCTTTAAAATAATTACGAACAAATATATGTAAATAATGTTAATTAAAAACATATAATTTGTATCTATGTTATTAAAACAAAAGTACCCATGTGTGTTTGGAAATAAATAAGTAATTAATAAACCTTGCTATAAATAGTTACTCAACATATTATTTTGAAAAATAAATTTGTTTTTATCTATTAGTAATAAATAAAATAAAAATCATAAAAAATAATTTATATAATATATAGATTAATATAAAAATATATGTTTAAATGTTGAAAAGTATACAATATATAGCACCATATATTTTAAATAATAATAAAAATAATTTTATTATATATTATCATAAAAATTTGATTCCTAAAAGTATAAGAAATACTTTACAAATATACGGATCATAATTTAAAAATAGAAATTATACAATTGATGGTTTACAAGATAAAAGAAAATTACTTCTATAAAGTATTAATTAATTATGTTTAAAAATATCATATTAAATAATTATTTAAATGATTAAATTTTAATATATATATATATATTATCAATTATATAAATAAATATGTATTTATAAAAAATTAAAAATAAACAGTGGGGTGTACTTCTATGATGTTTAATTTGTTTATATGACATAAATAAATTTTTAATAGCCGCCAAATAAAATTAAATTTAGTATGACTAATTAACTTTGGAAAATGCATCATACAAAAATAAATAAAAAGAAAAAAGAAAAATAAAACATGCACGGTTGTGCGGGTCAAAATCTAGTTATCTTTTATACGTAAACTAGATTTTTGACCCACACTTAAAAAACGCGAGAACTAGTTTTATTGTTTTATCTATAGATGGATCATAAGTCTTTTGCTTTGATGATATAAAATGTCATAGAATCAAGATCAAGTTATCATGCGGGTATGAAGAAATTTTTATTTTACAATGTCTCAGACAATTTTTTTATGTTTCTAAATATATTAACAATGATTGTACCTCAAATTTGTACTTGAGAAATATTATATATTAACAATTAAATGACACATTCAATTTTTTTTTTAGTTTTGTGATTAATTCATAAAATCATTTAGTTAAAAAATTTCACTATCTAATATAACTTTTTAAAATTAATGCAGATTTTAATTTATTATTATCATCAATATCTATGTAAATGTATTGTATATAACTGTGTAGTTTTATTTGGGACAATAATAGAAATTAACTATGCGTGATGTTGGAAAGCGAGTCAAACTCGCTTCGTCCGACCCGCTCTGCAGCGGGTTGAGTCATTTTTATGACTCAAAAAATTGACCCGTCTGACCCGCAAAAAAAAAGATTTTTTGCAATAATTTTTTTATAAAATTTGAAAAAGAACCAGTCCATTAATGAAACCCATTATTATATAAAAATGATCAAATTGCCATTAATAATAAAGAAAATTTGTATATAAGAATAATGGTATAATTGGATAATATAAAAAAATTCATTAAACATAATGATTTTGTTTTTATGGTATTGATAAAAAAATATTTATATTTATTTGAAATTCCTAAAAATTATCCTCAAATTTAAACATGACGGGATGATATAAGGAAAAGTGTATATTCCTACCCAAATAACTTTAACTGTGTCAAATACAACACGATCATCTTAACTACAAATACAAATCTCAACTACTTTATATACATGATCATCTTTTTTCCTTGTTCAGTGGTTATCAACAAGTGTCCCTTTTTTATTTGATCATCACCATCTCTTTTTTTTAGGTATATGTTTCTTCCTGTATAAATTTCATCATCAATTTTTTTTTGATTTTTTTTGATTTTTTTTTTGATTTTTATTCTACTGTTTTTAGTTAGGAATCTAGATTATAAATTTTTGGTGAAAAAATATTGAAATAAAGGGGTGAAAATTTTTGGTTAAAAGACACCATATTTGTATTTGCCTTAAGCTCAAGTAGACCTTTGCACGGCACTGATTCTAGTTTTTGAGTTTGGTTTCTTCACCAGATTTCTTGAATCAAACGATTGTTATCATATGGGTTTGGTCTCTTCACCATTGTTGAATCAAACGATTGTTATCATATAAGTTGGGTTTCTTCACCACTATTGAATCAAACGATTATCTTAATAGAAGAAAGTATGTTTGAACACACCAAATACGAAACTCACCAACAAAGAGACTTTCTTGAGATCAAAGGTGAAATATGTATCCGTTTATGTTATTACAAAGATTTCAAAAATCTTATGAATATACATAATATTTTCAAAATCTAGCTTTATGAGTAAAAATATAAAGAATTTACTTTCACTAATAATAGAATTGAATAGAATTGCAAAATCAATAAAAACTTAACTTTTTGAATAACGATGGATTTTGAATAAAATTTTAAAATCTTCAAACTAATAACACTAGATTTTGGAAAGAGTTTAAAAGTCTATAAACCAATGACAAGGAAAAGTTTAAAATTTTTCCACTGATTCCAATAGTCCCTCCTTCATTATTTTTCAAAAATATGCACATTCTAGGATTCGAATCCATGCCTTGTCACTTTTTAAAACGGACACATCAACCACCAAATTAAAACAATTTTCAAAAATAATACTACAAATAATACTACATTTTTTTGTTTGTTTACCCTATTTTACTAGTTAAGTTGGTCGATTTTATGGAGATAGATCACGCCTTGGGATCCCTCTTAACGCTACCTTGTCTTCGTTGTACTGCAATGGTGTTTGGCATCTTCCTGCGGCAAGATCAGAGAACCAGCTTAAGATACTAACCCACATCACCACTGTTGAATTCAACAGTGAGCCAGACTACTACGAATGGAAGATAAATGATAAAAGTGGAGGAAAATACAAGACGGGAGATGTATATTATTACCTTAAAGAAGAAGCAGAGGAAGTTAATTGGTCAAGGGCGGTGTGGACCTCGCCAAGTATCCCTAGACACAACTTCCATACTTGGTTAGTGCTGCTGAATCGTCTTCCCACACGAGATCGTATGCTAAGCTGGGTGATTCAAATAGATCCTTTTTGTCTACTCTGCAACAACACAAATGAAACTCGTGATCATCTATTCTGGGTTTGTGACTTTACTGTTGATCTCTGGTGACAAGTAGCAAGGAGATGTGGGATCTTACTTGAGAGAAGCTGGGACAACTCTTTGAACCAGATGATCTCTTTACCGGGGCCATCATCAGCTCGATCTCTCTCTCTATTAGGCTGGCAGGCGGCCATCTATTGGATATGGAATGAGCGTAATAATCGGTTGCATGCAAATCAATTCCGATCGGTGGACACTCTCTTCTCCATCATCGATCATCAAATCTGAAATAAAGTGCAAAGCTTTCGAGAGACAAACTGTAGAAGATCATCATCTATGATGCAGCAATGGATTCGATGAGGGAGGGTTGCGGTTTCAGACAAGGACCCGATCATTGCCTCGCCAATCTCAACCACACCAACCACCTTCTTCTTTCTATAATTAATTCTATGGAGCTTACTATTGGGCTGAAAGGCTCTGGGTTTGGGTAACTATTATGTGTTTCTAAATGGGCTTTGGCTCCAACACTAGAGCCTTTGGGTTTTTGTAATATTTTCTCTTTTTTGCATTTAATTTAAGAAAGCCAGTTTCAAAAAAAAAAAAAAAGTTGGTCGATTTTTGAATAAAATTGATTAAATTTCCGCAAATTTAAATATGAGAAGCGTTCAATTCGGTAGGTGTCAGTAATTGAACTCAACCCGAATTTTTTCAACAAACCAGAAATTTAAACCAATTAAAAAGAAAGACGAAAATAACCGGAACCAAACCGATAGAGAATCCAGAAACTACGATTATGGGAAAGAGGAAAGTCCCACGAAGACGGCATCTGGAACCTTTTAATATAATGCACACAACCAACAATCTTCTTCATTGTCTTTTGGCCTTTGGCTTCTGTAAGGGAGAGATCTCTCTCCAGATCTCTTGTTCCCTACGCCGGTTTCTCTGCTAGAGCTCACCATCATGACTCATATCCTTGTCGATTCGTCTCTTTTCTTCAAATCGTTTCTTATAGCTCGATTAATTGTTCTTTAGTAGTATCCTCTAGGTTTGTTTTCATGTTGAAACTCATCTTTCTTGAATTAGGTTTTGCGTGTTTTACAAGTCTGAAAATTCTTGAAAATTTGTGAATTTTTAGGGTTTTGTTATTAGATTAGGGATTGTCTTTGGTTTCTCCGTGTGAATCTTCTATGCAGATCTGATCTTGAGGGGTTTGCTAATTACTTGTTTTTTTTTTAAGAATGTTTTCTTTGATTTATATATGGGCTTTTGTGTTCACGAGGAAGCCAGAGAGAGCGAGACCGTGAAAGGGCTCAAGCTCGTGCAGGAGGCAAAGGGAAGACCAAAGATGATGGTCTAACTCCAGAGCAACGCCGTGAAAGGTGACCAGATTCGTATTGGCTCTTGAATCCTATTTTAAGTGAAGTTCTTGGAGGGTTAATAGAGATTCTTTTGTGTGTTTACATGATGGTTTAGGGATGCGAAAGCATTGCAAGAGAAGGCGGCGAAGAAGGCTGCTCAAGCTGCAGGAGCAGCTAATTCTGGAGGAGGAGGCAAAGGAAACACTAATAAGAAATGATTCATCAATGTTGTTGTAACTTGTAACTTTCTTTCTTTTTCAAAATCGTTATTGTTTCTGTGTTGAACTTTGGTTTTGAAATGTGAAACTTTGATGTTTTGTGGTGTGAAAGTATTTTGTTCTTTATTAATGGAATGCATTTTCGATTTGAACAATGACAAGATTACAATTATGTTTGTCTAAACCTCTGATGATAATCAAAAGAAAAATTATCATATGATCACATTCTGTAATTTTACATAGCATATGTAAACAACCATCCTTTTGAAGGTTTTCATAATAATCTTTGTACTGAAGTTTTTGATAACCAAAACCTGTAAGTGTGGATGTCAAGTAACGATGTGTTTTTATGTTAGGGGTCTAGTTAGAAATCTTTCATGTGTCTTTATTTTATGTAAAGAATCAAATAAGCTTACAGAATCATCTTGATTATGTACACAGTTGATATTAGTACACAAACATAAAGTCTTGTTTCTTTCTTAACTGCTCATGTAATCATCTGCATCATCAAGACCCACCCAACTCATGAAAGCAAATAGAAACTCTCTAAAACCCACTTTCCCTTTTCTTCCCCAATCCATTTCTTCTGCACAACACAACAACCAGAGGAGAGATAGAATCTAATGAGTTATCAATCTATTTTATCAGAACAAACGCATAGTCAAAGAGAGGTTGTTACGTTACCGAATCTCATGTTGGTGACATGTTTAGGAGATCTCTCTAGCGGATAGTCTTCGTTATTCAATGTCTTTGTCACATCAGCCTTGTTCAGTTTCCCTTTACCATTTTTGTCTAAAAACAAGAACACTTCCACTATGGGATCAAATATAGATTCAACCAACTTCGGACCCATCTCTCTCGGTTCCTAAGAAACACAACAACAAAATTTAGTTACTCTCAATAACTAAAACATTTTTAATCATCACATGTCTTGATTATTACCGAGCTGGATTCAGAGGAAGGTTTAGCTAGAAGATAAATGAGACAAAGAAGGACTATAAACTCATTGAACTGTATCCCTTTTCCATCAACATCACACCATCCATATAAACCTTTCACTTCTTCTTCAGACAAACTCATCAGCTTTAGTTCTTCTAAGCATTTCTTCAGCTCTTCCATATCGATTGTTCCGTTTCCATCTTTATCTGCAGAATTTTCACAAAACCAAATTTTTTTTAAAAAAAAGAAAAATCTCTAAACCGGTTGAATCTTTGAAAGATTCAAGAAAATGTTACCATATGATTCGAAAACGCTTCTGATGTTTCTTAATCCTTCTCTTAGCTTAGGAAACTTCATGATCACCGAATCCATGGACTTTAATCTCTGGTGTCCCGGATAATATCTCCGGCTCTCCACCATTTTCCGTTCAAGCTTAGCATCCAGCTCAGCATACTTCTTGTTGCTATCCGAGTTAACGCAGCAGCAGAGCATATTTCCTACAAGGTTTTTGTATTTAACATATAATGATAGAAATTATGAAAGAAAAAAAACAAGAACTCACTCATGTTAATTTTGATGTTCGTTGCAAAAGATGGATGAGAGAGGGACAAGGCGTAACAGGTTAAGTAAAGCATAAAGAATCATATACGTATAGAAGCAAAGTTAAAGACTCAAACATTGGTGACACTTTCAACATTTCAATGTCTTTTTAATGATTATTATTGTTATCTTATTTGTTTCTTTATATTTTTTTGCCTAAATAAACCACTTTCAAATGAATACAAGAAATAATATGGCAAGGTTAAAGGAAGACACTAAAGATTCAACATCAAATATATACATAAAAAGATAAAATTTTGATGACAAGTTTTGTATCGAATAATACAATCCCACCAAAAGCAAGTAAAGACGAGTTAAAACCTTATCTCTCTCTACCTTTTTCCCAAGTTGTCCTAAAACTTTAACCAATGGTACTACCAGGCATAATCCACCCTGCCTCATACCCGAGGCCAGCATCGTCGTCTCCACGATGCCGCTTCTTCATCGAGGCAGCAGAAACCGAGCTCCCGTTGGTGTTGGAAGTCAGAGAGCTTTCAACAGAACAGTTGGTTGTGATGTTGTTTTTGTTGTCTATTGCTGCAAGGTCGGACAAAGATGGCATCATCATCATCTTTGTTGCATCGAAGAACGGGGATGTTGTTGTTCCTTGGGAGCTGTTGGAGACTTTGATGGCTAGCTCTGATAGCTCTTCCCTAGCTGCCTCGAGTCCAGCGAAAGCAACAGCTTGGTCGTCAAAGGCCTTGCAAGCTTTCTCAAGGATTGATTGCAGGTACTTTCCTTGTGCTTCTATCCTTAGCTGGAGTCTCCTTTGTACCTGCCCATACTAAAATACTTATCAGAAGGTTTGCATCTTGAACAAGAAGAGAAGTGAAGGAAAGTAACCTCTAATTGCTCGTGGAGTCTTCTTTGGACTTCCATCTGAGCGCGGAGAGCTTCAGTGACTTGGTAACCCCTGTGGCTCGCAAACAAATAAAGAGGTTTATAAAAATTTGTAATAGTAGCAGCAGAAAACAGTAGGGATATATTAAGTGTAACCGTACTCGTTCTGCTCCTGCGCTGCTATTCTTAATGATGATGATGAAGATGAACCTGTATCCTGACTCTCCCCAACACAAGAAGCTGCAGCATCAAGATCACAGAATCAGTGGAATTCACACACAACTGAGATTCCATCACAGCTATATATGCTAGTCTTTGTTTTCTTTAAGAAAATGGGCAGGTTACTTATATATCTTCTGAAACCACCAGTGAGAAAACAACAGTGTCCCATGTGCCCCACACATGATATAGGTCTACAAAGTGTCTAACTAATGAGGATCCAAATGTGAACAAAGAGCTTCACAAACAGAGAAACACATTACCATCCTTGGAGTTGTCAGTTGATTCTTTGCAAGCTTGCCTCCCTAGGCGGAATTTCTGTCAAGCAAAACACGTTACAAAGGATAGATAACATCAGACCATCAACACATATGAAATTGAGAAGCTATACTGAAAAATAACTCCAGTCTACAACTCTTAAAAACCTAGCAAATCTAAGGTGTTGTTGTATCTCATTAAGCCAATATTCTCTGAGAAAAGTAAATTAGAGACCCCGTAACTCTGTCTGGAATCAGTTTATTCAAGGGAAAGGAACCAATAGACAAACCTGGAGATGTGATTTGAGGTGGTAGAGGGTGAGGCCTTTCACTCCCATTGTTCTCATGATAGTTTTGGGCGTTGCTTCTATAAATATGAACAAGCAGAGAGTCAGCTATTAACAAGTGTCAGGAAAAAAAAGACAAAACTGGAATAGGATCTTTAACTACAAGCCTTAAACAAAACCAAAAATTTCAAAGTTGAGATACTGACACTTGCTAAAATGAATTTCTGTTGCCTATAAATTCTGAAAAGGAAACAATTTTTTACATATCTTCCTATTAGTACACATCTTGTAAGAAGACAACTATTCAAGTCCTAAGAACAAAAAACTTCACTGATATAAACAAAACATATTCTTACAACTCTATCTACGAAATGAGCAAAGAGAACCAATAAAGAACAACCTTTCCACTTAAGCTCACACTTTCATCAAAGACAAGATCCCAAAAAGAGACAGTAACAAAACAAAGAGAGTGAAGACGGAAAAGAACTCACTGTCGGGACCGCCGAGCTGGGTGACGGCGTCAACGAACCTCTCATGGAGCTCGGCGGTCCACCGGAGACGGGGTTTGGGGTCAGTGGTTAAGACCAAACAGGCGTCGCCGGGGAGATTGGTTCCGTCAAGAGGACCATGGTACTCACCGCCGTCGAGAGGAAGCGACCGAATCGCCGAGTACATTTTCCAGTTCCCTCTCCCCCGAAAGAAAGAAAGTGCTTCTTCAAGGAGAGGGGAAGAGAGAAGAGATTTGGGTGGTGGTATTGGAGATTAGTGAGAAAATATCGGATCCGGGTCAGGCTCCGGGTTTTTTAATGACAGCGAAGTGACGGGTGGATAGATTTTGGACGTACTCTCTCTCTCTCTCCCTCCGAGATGCGTGAACTGAACATAGAGGGAACATGTTGTATTCTATTTTATAATGAGTTTGTCCGCAGAGCTACTTTCGTTCATATGTTTTATTAATCTTCAATTTTTATATAGTATTTATTGTTTACACCCTTTATTATTAATTAATCTTCATTTATATAGAGATCTTTTATATATTGGTTGGACCCTTTATTTGTTAATTATGTTAAGATGAAATGATTAGTTTTATTATAGAATCATATATAAACCAAAGGAAAAGTTGGGAAGAACTGATACAGGCCCCAACTAGTTACTGGTCCAATTGTATAAAAAAGATTATCTGAATTTAAAATAAAAACCCAAAAAAATTCATTTCAAACAACTCATGCCCAAACTCAGATTTTTTCTCTTGAAATTGGATCAGAAACTGTCTACTGGGGAGAATTTAGGACTTACAACAACTCAAACAAATTTCTGTAGATGCAGAGCATAAGAGACTACTATGAACATTTTTCTTCTAAACTTAAAACTAGCTCAACTAATAAATTTCCCTATCATGACACATACTTATGATAATAAATAAAATATTTTATACTTATTTATTAGTTGATCTAAAATCCAAACCTCTACTAACTGGAAAAGCTCAAATTTTTCAATAAAATAAAAGTGAAATCGTCTAGTTGAGCTTAATTCGTTTTCACACTTACAACTACGAAATTAACACATACATATATATAGATGTGCGATTATTTGCAATATCTAACTCTCAACAGCTACGCAAATTTTTAATACAAAACCAACGCAAGAGTCTTTTCGTCATGTTACTATGGACGCATGTTTCACAACAATTATTTTATCAAAAAGGGTTGGTGGACTGATAGAGATAGTTTTTGATTTCAATATACGATAATAATAGCAGTAGTTTTTTACAACCACCTATGATTTAGATATAGGCATAGCTGTTCGTTTCTTTATTCATTTCGCATCAAATTATTACTATGTAGTATTAATACTGTCTTAGTTAACTACGCAATTGGTTTTCTGGAGGAAAACCCTGTAAGTTACTTAAACCAACTCCTATTTGATTCAAGCTTCAACATTTGTTATTCCTTCAGGAATTTGTGTTGATGATGGACGAGTATTATTTTCTATTCTAGGAAACTAGCGTTGACTTGCTCTCAAAATGACAAAGGACATAACAACAAATTTATTGATCAGATCAGCGATGTTACAATGTATAAATATATGTATCTATAATTAGAAACAGTGACATCCCAACAATTCAATTCTATATAAGTCCGGAATAGTTGTTGAAAATTGAAGATCAAAGTTGTGTGGCTTGGTGTTTAGTGAAAAGAATTAGTTTTCTTTAAGGATCTAATCTGTCGCCGAAAATAAGTGTTAATAATGAAATGATATGATATTCTTATTTTTTAATCTTAAAACTCATAAAGATATAGTAGCATGAGTTTCGATCCTAAATTCAGAAACTAGGAAAAGCAAGTATCATTTAAAATGGATTTTAAAAGTAATTCTATAAAATTGTACTTTTTCAAAACTCTGTACTTGCAAATTTATAATGGTTATTTTTTCAATGTATTTTCATTTCTAAGATAATCAGTTATTAAAATGGATAGTTGTAAAAAAATTCAAAATTTGAAAAAGCTCTCAGGCCCGCCTCCCTAGGCGCCTCCGTTGATGGATCTCCTCCGTATCAGCCCCGTCGTACAGCCCTCCTTCTGAAGCAGCTCGTCTCCTCCTACCTGGTTTGGATAAAGAGTGATCCTCCTTCGTCGCGGTGCCGGCTTCCTCCATATCCACCGCCTTTTAAGCTTTTTCCGACAACGTTTGAAATTCTCACTCCTATCATTTCACCTGAACCACCAGATCTTCCAGACTAGTTCGTCGTCCGTGTTCTTCGTCCTCAGTCTTTGGCTTCGTTCTTCAGCGATTCGCACAATGGTTCTCTCCGAACACTTATCCAAACTCGAGATTTCAAATATTTTCTTTCAGATCTAGCGATTAATTTCATCTGTGGTGAGTCCCGCGAAGGATGAGATTCAATTTACCTCTATTACCTCATTATGAGGATGTTCTTCGGACTAGTATCATGTTGACATGGTGTTTACAGAGTTTAGGATTGAAAAATCTGAGTTTATCTTCTTCCCCATTGTGGCTGATTGTATTGAAAAACCTTGTTGTTGGTTTTGCGCCAATAAAACTGGTTTCTTTGGGCTATTATAGACTTGATTTCTCCTTTATGGAGATTGCTCTCTTTCCAAAACTTCCACTTTCTTTGAATAGTGTTGTTACTTGGGATATTGTGTTGAAGATGGTTCTCTCAGATACATAAACTATGCCTCATTAACTGCCTTTTCAGCAATCTTTGATACTGGCCTTTTGACCATGATGGCCTTTGAGACTTTCATGTCTCTCTTTTACGAAATTGTCTTGAACTGCCAAGACGCAAAGAAACTTTCTCAAATGTTGGTGAATTCTACATTCATGGATGAAGCTTTGAAGCACCGCTCTCCTCAAGGCTGGAGAAATCAATCTTCTCAATTTTCATATATTCTCAGACTTTTAAGTCTTCATAGCTACCCTACGATTAGGGTCTATTTTGGTTCTCCATGACATTAATTAAAAGTCTTGCTACTCTCTTCAATTCTCTATCTTTTAATTCCTTTCTTTGTTTTGATAATGTTCAGGCCATCTCTTTGGCAAAATCTAGCCTTGAATGTATGAATGTTGAAAACTTTGTGTGTTTAAGTTATTTGAATGAAAGAGGAACAAAAAAAAAGATAATCAAATATTAAGTTTAAACTCCTACAATTTATAATATTGGTTTGATTAAGAAAATTTTACATCTATAATCGTGTTTTGATTAGAGCTGGAGTGGACTAGATGAACTTCTTCCAGTCAAGCTTTTCTAAAGTGAATTTTTTGTACAGTAATATATTTTATAATTCATTTTTTTCGTAAGCGACTAAAATGGAACTCTAGGGCAGGGGAACAGTAGACAAGGCGGAAAGGGCAACCCACGTTTTGGAGAGACTCCATAACTCTTTCCATGTAAATGATCTGACAAGGGTACGCCTCGAATGAAAAATCCACATCAATTTCTCTTATGCAGTATACCGGCATTTTCTTTCTTTCTTTCCGCTGAAAAAGACAGATAGACAATAATCTCCTGCTTTTTTGTGATTTTTCCGCCGCTTAGGACATACGGATTGACCCACCTTTTAAACCTAACCGTAATTCTAAATCCATTAATTTGCTTAAAAGGCCCATAAACCTAACCCATTATTTACTTTAAAAGGCCCATAACCTAACTTCTATTCTCTCGTGTTTTTTATCTCTCAACTCTGGTGTTGTGTACTAGATAAACTAGGCTATAGCCTATAGTTAAATAACTTTACAAATGCAGTGATGAACTCAGTTCTGCTTTGTTATTGAATCCTCACTCACTCCCTCCCACCACCAAGTTCTCTCTATGGAGCCGATTAGTTTATTTCGTTTGACTATGAAAACTATGTTCACAGTTACGTTTTTCTCCCTAGCTGAGTTTGAGCAAAACTGAAACAACATGTCCGCTGTGTAAGTTTATGTCTTGTGTTGAGACCAAATCAATATGTCCGCTGCATCGAGAATAACCAGATTTTTCTGTGCAAGTACAAGTATCTTAAATATCCACACTGAACAACAAATGAAATGAATCCCCTATATATTATTTGAGAATCATTTAAAAAATTGTAACCTTAATTTTTTAAGAATTAAAATAACCTCAATCCTACGTGGCATAGCTCTTTGGCTTCTATTTTTAAATCCCAAGGATTCTAGAGCATGTGATATAATGTATAGTTTAAATATAATATTCTCTAGCAATATAATATTCCGTAGGCTATAGTTGGTCGCATATATCAAATATTTATTGTTTCCCATGCTTTCCTTAAATAAAACCTACGGAATTACCTAATGTGATCAAAATATATATATGACAATTAAAGATTTTAAACAATAAATATTTGATAACGATCTGTATACTTTTTTCCTTTTGTTTATTTCTTTATTATTAAAATAAATTACCCAATTACATTAATCATATAATAAAAATCTAGATTTTTTTTTTGTGTATGTTGTATTTCAAATTTTTCAAAATGAGTATAAATTACTAAAATTGTTAAAAGTCCCACATAAACTTTTAAGATCAAGGTTTTAATTTTTTTTTCTATACTAAAATATAATGATTATAAGACCATATGAAGAAATAATTTTAGTTTATATATATTTAATATCATTTTAATTACACTATACATCATATGAAAATACGTACTTATATTTTGATATTTACCTTGAACATATATTGAAAAGTTAATACTTTAATTTTGAAATATGTCATTGTTTTTTTTTAAATGATTATAAATTATTGAAACTACTAAACATCTCACATTTAAAAAAATTTGTTGGTGTAAAGTTTTGTTACACAAATATGCAAATAAACATAAAATCATATGAGTAGGAACCTCATTTAATTAATATCCATATTAAAAGTGTGTTATATTACTATGTTTATATCATTTAAATTTAATTATATATCATATACAATATATAAGATTGATTAGTTTGATTTATTTACCCTAATTGTGAATAAACAAGAGTAATAGTTAAATTTATATGCATACGCCAATTTATTACATAATAGTAACTGATTTCTTAGTTATTTAATACATATTTATTATTTTATTATTTATAATATGCAGAAAAATATAAAATAAATAATAAATATAAGATACTTATTGTGCATAAAGTGCAGATCTTAACCTAAGTATGTATCTCTTTAACTATTTTAAATCTTAAGTATTTTCTAAAACAAACGAAATGAGAATAAAATTCAAAATAAATATTTATATCGAGTAATAATCAAAATATAAAAAAAAAATAGCAAGAGAAAAATGGAAGATAAATAGGACTGACACATGAACGTAAACTTCTCATAACCATTATTAATTTTTAAATTGTTAAATCATGATATAAAACTGAGTTAATTTTTAATTTGTTAATTTTTATTTTTTTATTTTTTTAATTTTTAAATCATTATGGTTATGTTAAATCATGACCATAATTAATTTTAAATTATTTATTTATATTTGAAAAACTTATAATATTGTTTTTAAAAATAATTTAAAAATTAACATAATTTTTTATAAATTATTTTAAAAAATAATAATTTGTAAAAATGTAACTTCTAATATTATTAGACAGATAAATAAATTATATTAAATTAGTTTTGAAACTTTATATATTTTAAATGCAAATATTTTACCAATTGCTTCTTAAAAAAACATTAGGGAACTTGCTAATACTCTACCAATCAAGCCCAATAACACTCTATTTATTTTCCATCACTCGAACATTGAAAAGTGAAAATATATATGAAAACAGATCCATTAAATTCTAAGATTTGATTTACATTTTTAATTAAAATTGTTTCTGATCCTACGTATAGATAATTATATAAAAATTTCAAAATTCTTCAATTTCAAATACATATAAAAACAATCATATGTAAATTTTAAATTTGTCAATACTAAAATTTTATATTTTAACTACATATATTCACCATGCGTAAGACACAGGTCTTATCCTAGTATATTATTATATTTACTTCAAAAGTAAACAAATATCTGAAACTGTATCTTTCAATTAAACTATCAAATATTATTCCAAAATGAATTACCCAAATTCTAAACATTTTATTTGGCATATCTAAAGTTATTCCAATTATGTGATATTTTTAATTAGTTATCTTATGTTAATTGTCTTTGTAGATTATTTTGTGGTGTTTACTGAGAAGCTGTAGGCGCCTTCGGTCTGAGTATTTGAGGATTTCTCTCGGCCAACTCTGTTCGGTTTGATGTCTGATTATTATTTTAGGTTCCTCTTTGTAATCACACTGGTTTCTGCTTGTCCGCTTGCTACTGTTGCGTATTGATATGCTTACCGAATCCTCATAACCGATGGTAAACTTTGACACATCCTTTTATTTACTTTTACGCATAACTTGATAAACGCAAATAGTCAAAATAAAAACTCGGGAATGACAAATCAGAAATTAAAAAAAAAAAAAAAAAGAAGACAAGATAAACAGAAGCAATAAGATCAATCAAACACGAATGGGCAAATCTTGAACCCACCCACCATTATTAATGAAGTTGAGACTACTCAAACTTTGAACGATGCCTCCATTCAGCTTCTTAACCCAGCTCACACGTCTCGCCATACTAGATCCACTTCCAAAGCATCCAACTTCTGCATACGTCAGCTGTGATTCGTGGCCCACTAAGTGCCACGCGTCCCAACCTTCGGGAACAACCACGTTGGTCATGTTAGTGTTGTAAAAGATCACTCGAGCGTAACTGCGCCACGGTCTTCCCAAGTAAGCCATCCCTGTTCCGTGAACGAGGCTGTCCAGGAACACGAATCCGTTCGAGTCGTACGGGTTTGTCCGCCCTTGAGCCGTTATGTATCCAGCTAGCCCCGGTTCTAGTGTCGCTCCTAGCACTTGTATCACACATTCCTAGAAACCGACTCACATTAATATCGGACCACAACAATTTGTTAGGATAATAATGTTAAAATTCCTTTTTTTTCCGTCTCATTGTATGGACAGAAAAAGTAAAGAATTATTGTAGAAAACAATGCGAGTATAATCATCCTAGATATAATAAAAACTGACGTAGTTATGTGAAGAGTCAGAATGTGACAAACCTTGTAAATAGATTGACCGTTACCAAAGATGAAATCAACGGCGCCTTGGATAGTGCAACGGTGAAACAAGTGTCGACCATCCGCATCCCACAAGGTATCTTGAATTCCGGCAAACCCTACCGAGTAAAAAGCACACTTATCGGCATCGATCAACGCCGCCACCGCCGGAGTCCTAGGGTTCTTGTTCACTTTCCCATTGTTCGGGAAATTATATGTATTCTATGAAAATACAAAAACAAAAAAAAAACCGTTTTCATCTTCTAATAAGAGAGGAATCAAATCAACAGAAGAAAAAGACACCAAAACCTCTACCATACCACGAAAGTGAGGCTCTTAACGACGGTATTATCTGCGATAGTAGCAAAGGTAGGGCTTTGTGCAACCGAGTAATGGTCGTCCCATTCAACTCTAGTTTTCCTCTTTCCAGCTCCGATTATTACTATGAACGGTTTGTCATATGGTATCTTTATTTTCTCCCTACGGCATAATAGAAAAACGTTATTAAGCATTTTTTTCTCATATATGAAACTTCATTTCAAGTCAACTAAATGTAACTATACTGACTTGTAAAGGCCGGCTGCAACGTTGATGAAGAACCAATTACGATTGTTGGATGGAACCGAATCGATAGCTTTTTGTATTTTCGTGAAATTTCCTTTGCCAGATTGATCCACGAACACTTGTTGGTGGTACGGTCTGTATCGTGTAGCTCCGATTAGATGAGGTAGAGAGAAATAACAAAAAAGAGTGACAGAAGCGATGAAAAGTCGATGAGTTCCCATTAGATGATATATCAATAGGAACGTAAGAGATTAAGTGGGGGGGCGGGGGGAAGACAGATGAGACTAGTGGAGGAAATGAATTATTTAACCAGGCTGAAAGATTTAATGCCTTGTAATTTTATGCTAAATATATTTATACCAGATGATTTATTTCTTTGTTTTCTTTTGACCACGTACGGGTCGACTTAAAGTAGAATCTAGTGAAACTGGCAAGTTGAGCTTTGTTTCCGGAATTGGTGATCAGTTTTGGTTTTGTGTGAGATGTTACAAGCCAAAAATGGAAGTTGTAATCTTTGTGATTGAGGAAAGTGGGCAAATATAAAGTTAGTGGGCGAGACTTTGACTTTGTTATTCATTTGGAAAGTATTGCAAATATTATGGAGATCTCTTTTTTCGTCAACAAATTATGAAAATTAATAGTGACTTTCGCTTAGTAGAAACAAATTACATTGGATTGGCAGAAAATTAGGAAAATAGTCGTATACCACACTGATACACACGAAAAAAAGGAAACTGTAATCTTTGTAATTGTGGTAACTGCAACGTTAGTGGTAGTCGACACTATATATTCATTTCGAAATTATTATAGAGAAAAAATTAATAGTGATGAAAGTGATCGTGCTTGGTGTATATGTTAAGGTATTGTAAGTTTGTAACTATAACATCCATGTGATCCATCTCCAGATCGTTTTTTTCTTATATTTTAGAGGACTTTAAGGTTTTGAAAGCCATTTTCACAAAATTTATGTTCAAATTTTGTAAACACATTTTCAGACAAAATTCAATCGTTTTTTCCTCTTTAATTATTTGTATATACTTTCTTAGTTTTTAATTATTGTATAAAAGTGTTCCTAACTTAGAAAATTTGTAGATAAATATATTAATCAAATACTTTGATAAAACGTAGGTGTTTCATAACCAAGAAAACTGTATATTAATAATCTATTTTTTTATATTTCTAATAATATAAGAAAATAAACCATTAGAAATAGATTTATAGCTAATCTATATTGAGTATTTTTTTAAGAGAAAATGACTATTAAAACCACGAACTTTCAAATTAATGCCAAAAAACTTCTAACTTATGTTTGAGATAAAAAAATCCTCAACTTTTAAATATTGGTCGTTCTGACTCTCATATTTTTTTGTTTATTTGGCCATTTAAAAAATTTGAATAGTCAAAACTCGATTACAAAAATAGATGTATGTTAATTCTTTAAATGATTGTTGGGGTCAAAGTCGGTACGACGGAATTAATAGCCAAAACTCCCCGCGAAAATACACAAAGAACAGTTTTATAAAACTCGAGAAATCGTTTTATAAAACTCGAGAAATCATTTTGTAAAAACTTGAGAATCGTTTTGTAAAACTCGAGAAATAATTTTATAAAACTAGAAGATCGTTTTATAAAACTCGAGAAATCGTTTTATAAAACTCGAGAAATCGTTTTATAAAACTCGAAGATCGTTTTATAAAACTCGAAGATCGTTTTATAAAACTCAAAGATCGTTTTATAAAACTCGAGAAATCATTTTATAAAACTCTAAAGATCGTTTTATAAAACTCGAAGATCGTTTTATAAAACTCGAGAAATCGTTTTATAAAACTCGAGAAATCGTTTTGTAAAACTCGAAGATCGTTTTATAAAACTCGAAGATCGTTTTATAAAACTCGAAGATCGTTTTATAAAACTCGAAGATCGTTTTATAAAACTCGAAGATCGTTTTATAAAACTAGAGAAATCATTTTATAACACTCGAAAGATCGTTTTATAAAACTCGAAGATCGTTTTATAAAACTCGAGAAATCGTTTTATAAAACTCGAGATATCGTTTTATAAAACTCGAAGATCGTTTTATAAAACTCAAAGATCGTTTTATAAAACTCGAAGATCGTTTTATAAAAATCGAACGTCGTTTTATGAAATCCGAAAATCGTTTTATAAAACTCGAGAATCGTTTTACAAAACCGCAAAAAACCGAAAAAACCGAAAAAGCCGTAAAACGCGAACTAGTCGCAACTAGTTCGCCCATAGGCGAACTAAGCCGGGCCGGCTTAGTTCGCCGATGGGCGAACTAGAGACCTCCCGGACACTCCACGTCACGATTTCCCATATTCCCGATTCGAAACTTACGTCTTTCAACAAGGTCGCGTTCTAAACCACGGCCGAAATATCTCCCGTTCCATCTCGATCCGACTTACCGCGAGTTTTACGATACAAACCGTAAAACTTCGTTTTCTCGGAAAGAACTCGAGGAAATCGTATAAAACGGCAACGGTTAAACGAAACACCGAACATTGCCTAAACTATACGATTTATTCGAGATTTCTCGTTGAAGTCATAAAAAACGCGCTTTTAATAAAAAACGCCGAGCAAGTCGCAAAAAACGTGTTTTTAATAAAAAGTCGAGAAAATCGTAAAATCTTGCGATTAACTCGAGAAATTTATTAAAAATGACGTCAGATCAGGAAACGATCCCGTAAAAAGTCGGAAAACGGTTTTATCGCGAAACGGCCCGGAGGGACCTAAAACGCGATAAAAACCCATCTCGCGATTTCAACGGAATCTAACCCGCAGATTTGATAACGTTTTGATGGTTTACTCGCAGAAGGAAAATAAAATTCAAGTTTAAAGATAAAAGGAAGGTTTGAAGAGAAATAGAAGATTTCCGCGGAAGAAAAGGAAAGACCGAGAAGAATGGAAAATTCCCGATTTAGTCAAATCTGGGCGAAATGGAAAGATCGGATAGCCAAGGCAAGGAGTATATAAATAGGAGGTCTAGGGCAGAAGCACACACGAAATTCAGAGCTCTCACCACCAAAACTAGCATTTAGGAATATGTCCGTTTTTCTGTTAGCGAGCTGCGTCTCAATTAGGGTTTTCGTTCTTAAGCTTTTCGGCTACTCTTTTGTACCAGTTTAACACAGATTCGGAATAAGAACCTCTTTGCTCTCTGTTTCGTTTATTTTCATTCAAATTCTAAGTTATCGTTTTCTTATTTTTCGTTGTGCGGTTCTCGCAGATAGCCGGTTCCTCTGGAAACTTAGGGTTTTCCCGAAGTTTCCTTTTTTACGATTTGTTTGACAGTGAGTGGATTTCGACACCCACAGTTTGGCGCTAGAAGGAGGGGGGGGGGTCGGATCTATCTTACACCGTAGCCGCAACATGTCCAACGAAGAAACGATGGCTGGTGACAACCAAACTCGCGACGAACGCGACAACGTTGAAACACCACTACCGAAAGACGCGCCTGCGGCCAACGCTAAGAACGCTAACGCCAAGACCGTCGAAAAGATGCTTTCCGAGTTTAACAAAAAATCGGAAGAGCAGGAAAAGCTCATTGGTTCGCTCGCAAAACGGCTCGAAACCCTAACCGCGAGAACCAAAGCAATTCGCCCCCGCGGAACTACCAAAATCCGCGGAAGGAGACTCGATTTCGGCGCTCCTACGGATCGTCCCAGAATCGATCAGGGAAACGTACCGGAAAAGGATTCCGGGAAAGAGAACCCTGACACGACACTGAACGAATCGAAAAAATCTCCTATTCGCGAACAGGAGACCGAAGGTGACGGCATCGAAAGGGTCAACTTGGAAACGAGCGACCAGGCCGACTCGACAGACGAAGACGCCGACGTCCATCCTAGGAGAAGAAAACTCGCAGTCCTCGACCGGAGTCTTCTCCCGAACGTTCCTTTACTGGAGACAAAGGGGAATTCGACTTCGCGCGATATGCAAAAACCGCCGACGAGCGATCTCTGGTCACTCGCAGCAAACGCCGACGAGGTCGGAAAACTGCTGGCGATCAGACCGAGATTCGCGATCTCCGCGAATACATTACCAAAACGGCCGCAGCGGTAAAAGCGGTGAAATCTCAGATTCATCACGCGACCAGCGCTGCACCCAAAATCGATCGGCTGCTGTACGAGTCTCGGAAAACGCCTTTTACGGCCCGTATCACCGAGATCAAACTGCCCGATCCCGGAAAGCTTAAGGTGCCAACTTACGACGGGACGTCTGATCCCAAAGCGCACCTGCAAGCGTTCCAGATCACCATGGGACGAGCCAAGCTCAAGGATCACGAAAAAGACGCAGGTTACTGCCGTCTCTTCGTCGAAAACCTAGAAGGAGCTGCGCTCGAATGGTTCGCCAAACTTAGGCGAAACTCGATCGGAAGTTTCCGTCGACTGGCTTCGGAGTTCCTGAAACAGTACTCGATGTTCATTAACCCGGAAACCTCCGACGCCGATCTCTGGAGCTTGGTGCACGAGGAAGACGAATCTCTCCGCGATTTCATGAGTAGATTCAAACTNTCGAAAACCTAGAAGGAGCTGCGCTCGAATGGTTCGCCAAACTTAGGCGAAACTCGATCGGAAGTTTCCGTCGACTGGCTTCGGAGTTCCTGAAACAGTACTCGATGTTCATTAACCCGGAAACCTCCGACGCCGATCTCTGGAGCTTGGTGCACGAGGAAGACGAATCTCTCCGCGATTTCATGAGTAGATTCAAACTTGTCCTGGCTAGGGGTAGCGGGATCAGAGACAAAGCCACCATCGACGCGTTAAGAAAATCGCTCTGGTATAAATCGAAGTTCCGCAAGTGGATAACTCTCGAGAAACCGCGGACGATCCAGGATGCGCTCCATAAGGCCACCGACTTCATAACTATCGAAGAGGAAACTAAAATCCTGTCCGAGAATCATAAGCCGGCGAAAACATCCGCGAATGATACCGCGTCCGAGCAGAAGCAGAAAAAGAAAATCTCTCGTAACGACAAATTCGTCCATCACAAGGGACATGATCTTTGAGGGGCGCATAACTACGCTGTCAACTCCGGTTCGGAGCAAGGGCGAACTACAGGTAACACGTGGACGAGAAATTCGAATTACGATGAGAATTCTTTCCGTGACCTCCACCAAACCCATGGTCATTCCACCGTGAACTGTAAAGTTCTCGGCGCCAGACTGGCCGCAAAGTTAGTCGCGGGAGAACTTTCCGAGATA